GTCATAAAATTCAAAGACGTTTTCATATGCCACTGCTGCTGCTGCTGCTACTGACCTGCGAGAGAAGCGCTTGTTTGCCGCAACCTGGGCTGTGTCGAGACATTCTTCTCTCCTGGCCCCCGGAACAATCGAGTTTGAAATCGTCGTTGTCGGATCGAATTATCGACTGTATAGAAAAATTGAAAGGAAGAGAAAAAAAAACGCGTTCTCAACCCAATCCCTGCAATTGAATCGAAGCCGCATTTTCAGCGACACACACATAGTGACCCGACAAAGAAACAGCCGCGTCGTCGATGCAACCCCTGCATCTCTGGGGCAGGGAAATCCTTTCACGAGCCAGCCTCAACTCTTTAATCAATTTGTCAACTAATACTCTCCGAGCCGAGACTGTACTAATGCGCAGTCTGGTTAATCATCGTCGGTCTATTCGAGCCGAAATCACAATTCGACTCGCTTCTCTCTCTCGTCTTCCCGAGGCTCTAATCTCGCGTCTGCGCCCCCTTGATATTTTTTTTTCCTTCCTTTTCGCAGATGCAAGAAAGTCGTCGAAGAGGCGTAACTTCGGTAAATGCAGCTATTGTATACAGGGGCAAGCTTATGCGTGTAACGTGACGTCGTCGTCGCACCCCCGCGTCACAAATATTATAACCCAAGAATTTATGTAACGTAAACGGCTGTGCGGGCGCAAGCCTATGGTGTAAGTATTGTCGTGAAATACATCTGCACGTACACACCTACGCGCGTCCCCCGCTGACAAATTGGCCTAAATACATAGTTTTTCCCGTTTTCTTCCGTGTATATGTATTTACAGCCTTGTTATTTACCAAAAATACCATCGGCAATGTTGCAAAGTTGATTTTCTTGCTTGCCTGCAGGACGATCGATTGATTAATCGATTTATTTTCCATCATTCCATGCAAGCATCAGTGTTTGCTCGGTAAAGGCTGCGTAATTTTCTCAGATTTGCTGGAAAATGACAGTCGATATAATGCTCTACAGATGTTTACGTCAAGGGATACGTCAGGTTCTTGTGAATTAATGACTTTCAGGACTATTTTCATTTCGACGATTGACGATCAGTTTTTGCGCTGGAAAAATTTGCACCAGGTGCCAGGTTGCAGCAGACCATTATTCTCGTAGAATAATACCTGACGATCAATGTTCCTCTGATTCAACCCACGACCCGTTGCACGAAGATGATCCTCTTATTTTTAATAAAAAAAAATTACGTGAAACTTAATAACCCAAAATTGCGCATTAGCCTAGAATAGAATTCCAAGAAAATAAACGCCAGACTCGTCGCTTAACCCATTACCCTTGATAATAAGCTCTCGGTACATAGAATAAAGAAAGAGCGGCATAGATCCGACAGTCGCGTGGTCTCGCGCTCATCTCTCCTTCTATATACGAAGATGCTTTAAGAAAATAAAAAAAAATGCCCATTCAAGCGTGTATACAGTTCTCTCTCTCTCGTTTCTGAATCAAAACTCCTTGTCTGCGCCTTATGTATGTATGTATGTACGTACGTATGTATAATACGTGTAAGCAACAGCAGCAGTGCAAGGCACGCGTCTTGCGGGACTTGCCCCCCTTCAATCTTGCAGCAGTACACTACGTGTATATATTTTTTCGCTTTCCCCCTCGCTCTCTCTCTCTCTCTTGAGTGCAGCTAACAGCAGCAGCAGCAGCAGCAGCGTCTTGCAAGACGACTACGACTTTGGGTACGCAGAGGACAAAAGGAGAGAAAGAGAGAAAAAAAAGTGTATACATATAGATATATAGGCACGCGCGTTTACGGGGGAGGCTTGATCGGCCTATATAGGTATAAGGTATACCTATATAATATGGTAGTCGCGCGTCGAGCTCGCGCGAGCGGGGGACACGTGCCCCGACGTGCGCTATTGTGTCCCGCAGTTGATGCGCCTTGATCTCTATACCGATGCTGCTGCTGCCATATATAATAATAAATATATAAAGTAGGCTAACCAAAGGTTCATATATACGCTTCCATTGTCGCGCGCGCGACTGGCGAGCGCAAAAAAAAGCATTACGAGTCGTATACAGTCCTGTATACGTATGCGCGTGTGTAGTCGACTTTTTTCCACATTATACGTAAAATGTTACAACGCACAGAAGCTGTGGGGGTGCTGCAGCATCGACGCGTGCGTTTTACCTTTTGCCCTGTGCGTGTCTCTCTTTTTCTCTCTCTGATTTTCGGGGGGGTCATTGTTGCTTTTATAAGCTGCTACTGTGTCGAATCACCGGTGAATGCGTAAACAGCTTCGTTTTTTTTTCTTCTTGCTTTCGTTTCTCGCCTCGGTGAAATAGAATACGATGATTTGAAGTGGTGATTAATTGCTACACAACTATACGTATAGTATATTAATACGGTAGCTCGTTGGCGAACGAAATTTCCTAAATCGCGTAATTATTACCACGGTTGCTTATTTTTTTCTTCTTCTATCGCTATGAGCTCTTGCATACCGATATCTGCATAAACGTTATTCGCTTTGGCGATCTGCATTAGTCGCCGTTTCTCTTCTTCTCTTTTTTGCACTCTCGCGATTGGATTTAATTAAAATAGATTTCGAGCTCGCGAGCTCGTGTATGCAGAAGCATTAGTCGCGACTGTACACGTACACAGCTCTCTCGCTACATTTGAATATTAATTCAATAACGCCCACCTGTAATTCCGATCGTTCAGTTCAGTGCAGTGCACCCTCGCTTCGTTCGTTCGTGGTCGCCGCGGCGCGCAAAGTCAAGTCAAGCTTCCGCGAGTCTCTGCGAGTGTAATGAGAAAAGGTGTATATATGTAGGTGCTGTGCATCTCTCACCGGAGAGGAAATAATTGCACTTGTCACTGCGCTGCGCGCACACACGTAAACATTTACATTCGTTTATATATATTATGTTTATGAATGTGTAATATGCGGACGAGAGACGTGAAGTACGAGGTATGCTCCATACATACGTAATGCGTCTCTCTCTTCACGGGGCACGTGCTTCGTGGACGAGGAGGATGCGCAGCGGCAGTAGCAGCTCGTCGTCGTCGTCCTAGTCTAGGAATAGATTTGAAAAGATTCGCTGCTGCTTGCGGTGGTAAAAGCAGTGGCAGCAACAGCTGCCGCGGCTGCCGGTTCAACAGGATAAATTTGCAATTCATTCGCGCGGCGCAGCAGAGAGAGAGAGAGAGAGAGAGAGAGAGAGAGAGAGAGAGAGAGAGAAAGAGCACCTTAGCACGTTTTCTTGTACATATATATTATCTGATGCTGTGTATAAGTCGTAAATGCTATCTCTGTACTGTATACTGCAAGCAGGGACTCGAGCATACACCCCTGACGCGATGATTATTTCGCGCGCACAACTACATTTCCGTGTTTTACGTTACATTTTTTTTTCTCCACTTCGTCGTCGTCGTGCTACTGTTGCTCTTTTTGTTGTTATCGGCTGAGCTGGCAGAGCGGAGGGAGAGCTAAATTATATTAAATTCTCATTAAAAGTCGATGTTTATAGGACTCGTGTATATGTATCTCTCTCGCTCGCTGATTTTAATCTTCCGCGCCGCGAGACCCAACGTTGTAAATCATGCTATTATATCGATGTCGAAAAATTATTAATAGCTGCTAATGCACGCGCGATCGTTTCTTTCGCTTCTACGCGCGTTATGTGTAAGTAAGTGTGCAACGCGTATCACGCCAGACACTTGCACACCTATACATGTATATAGCGTTGTATATAGACGAGAGAAAATTTCACTCAATTATAGCGTCGTCGTGCCGTGAGGCGAGGAGGAGCAGGAGGAGGAGGAGGGAAAGGTGCGAAAAGCAACGAGGTGCTCGTCAAAGTTGCTGCATAAATATAAAATAGATAATAAGGTCGAAACTGCTTGGCGCCAAGGAGAAAAAAAGCAGCTCGCGCGCGTTGTACACTTTCGATATAACGATGCGTCGAATCGCGAGATGAAACTCGTTCGAAGTGGTATCATGAAAAAGCTTAAAAAATAGAGGGAAAATTTGCTAGAAGACGAAGCTATGCGCGCCAAAACGACGTTGACGAGCGGTGCATATAGAGGGCGCGGCTAGCCTAATACACAGTTGCACGAGGATCGATTTGTTATCGATCACAATGTGTTCGTATGGTCGCCGAGCAAGCGAAATAAATAAAGCGAGTTTTACAGGCGCGACCGATTATACACGTGAGAAATTGATCGATGCGGGCGGTTAATAATATCGTAGAGTGTAATAAATACGCGAGTGTCCAGCAAATACGAAGTCTCGGCCGAACGCGTGTGAGTTACAAGTGTCGTGGCGCAAACTCTGTTGACGAGCGAAGTCGAATACAAGTCGAGAGGCTATCTCTCTCTCTCGTAGTGGGTGTTTGTATACAATAAACACCGACATCGTCGGCGGTATGTTTATATTCGGGCCAAGATTTTCACCAGCGCGAGGATGATGAGAAGGTAAACATAACGAACATCTTTGGTCAGCGAAGATACAGCCTATAGCACACGCGCTCGAACCCCAAAACTCGCGAGTACGTGGGAGAGAAAAGTCGAGATTTTGCAGTATAATTATACAGTGGCGCGCGCGCGCCAATTTCAAGGTTAACGCCGACGCACTTTGCACTGGATCGTCGCGGCGAAAAATGAAAATCCCTCGACGCACCCGACACTGCATGCGCGCGAGCGTGAATCGTTGTAACATTCTGTCCTGTAAGAGAATCGAGTAACTGTCAACAATTCATATATCGTGTTTATAACGTCGATCAAATTTCGAAATGCCTTGCGGAAGCAAACCCAAAGGAAAACAGAGGAGCCACGAGGGGGTGTGGGCGAAGCTCGACGTCGGTCGTTCGTCAACGGCTTTTCTAACCTCTCGACTCGTCGTTCTTTGCGCGCACTCGTTTCACTCGCGCACGGACGGGAGATGCGTTTTTACATATAAGGTGCACACGCGGAGAGAACAGGATCAGCGGTGCAGGGTTAAGAATCAGTCACTCACCTTATTGAGCAATGCAGGCAACGCGAACAGGTTAATCAGGCGCTGCAGTTCAATCATTCAGCCAACCGTTGCCTCCCCCTAATTGTGCAGGCTCTCGTCGTCGTTTCTCGTTCCTCGACGAGACGTCGAGATTTTCGCACGAACGAATCGTAAGTATCAGTAGCGTAGACTTGTCCTCTTCATGGCAGTGTGTCCCCGCACTTGGAAACACTATATGATATCACGATAATGATACACGACAATCTCGCGCACACGAGTCAACGACAAAATAACAAAATCGAGCAACAATAATTCGATCGCTCTTCTTGGCAACGACGACACTTTCGTCGATGCTCTTGCACACGCGTATACAACTGGAAAACAGATCGGTGGCACTTTGATTACGGACGACGGCGTGATATGCGATAAAGCACACTGTGTCACTGTTATGGAATCGTTACGCGCACACACGTCACACACACACACACACACACACACACAGAGACACAATCGAGGCGCGGGTGACTGACTATCGGAGTCTGGGCAGTGGCAAAAAATATTCGTTGGCGTTGCTGCACTTCTCGAGTTGCTGAGATACGAGAGCACCACTAGATTACTGTGTATCGTATGTGTCGCGCGGGTTGTTGCTCTCCTATATACGTATAATATAGCGCACTATAAGCTACTACCGGGCTGTCGAGTACTGAGCGCCAGCGTTGAGCAGCGGCACTGTGCAAAACAGCAGCAGCAGCGGAGAAAGAGATACACGCGCGAGAGACACACAGTCAACAGGTGAGGAGGCGTCGTCCTTTGCTCTCTCTCTCTCTCTCTCTTTCTCTGTCTATCCCTGCCAGGCGCAAGTACGCACTCGTGTACACACACACACTCATAGACAACGGTGTGTGCGAATAAATCCGCGCGGTAGCTGCGCTAGGCCTCGACTCCCGGATCGCCGCGAAATACAAGCATGGCCTATGCTGCTACAGCCGACAGTTGCGTGTGGTAGTGCGAGTAGTATACGGTAGGTGGAGAGTGGGAGGTGCGGGACACGCGACAGCAGCAGCAGCCACGAGAGTAGCTTAAATGTTGCTACCAGCTACTACTGTCTTTCTGCTCGGCTCTCTGTATATCTGTGAGAATTCGATGTTGATGTGCTGCTGCTGCTGGAAGTTTCGCGATTGCTGAATCCGTGCAAGTTTCCAAGTGCATGTGTGTGCGTGTATATGCACGATATAGAGGTCAAAGTATGGTGGGGAAAAACGGAGAGAGAGAGAGAGAGAGAGAGAAAGAGAGCATTGGTGGGGTGGCTTTTTTCGCTCCGTATCAGCAGCGCTGCAGCTTAGATTTTAGCCCGCGCAAGCGTGTGCTCGTATGCTCGTGTGCGTGAATGTGCACGCGTGACGTAACGCAGCGTGGATTGGATAACGGGGCGCTTACCCTCGACATTGCCGCTGCTGCTGCCGCTGCTGCTGCTGCAGAGCTATTTGAAACTGCTGAATTTCGCAGCGGTGTGCAGAAATGGCAGGCGAGAGAGAAGGGGGGTTGCCGCTGCCACCACCCGACTCGGAGGGATGTTTTGCGCGCCAAACCACTGGGCTACCTACCTACCCCCCTCTTTTATCCGGATAGATATCCCAGTGGTACTTGCTGGTGTATCATAATATCGGTGCTTGCACGAGCTTGCCTCGTGCGAGCCGCTAAGCACTGCACACTCGACGAAAGATGTGCTCCTCCTGTAGAATCAAAACTGAAAAAAATGTGCATCCATCGTCTTCCTCGGGCAATTATATCGAGGTGCGTTGCATCTTTGGCTCACGAACGACTCAAAGTACGCTAGACGCAGAGAACGTCTCGTTGCGCGAAAAATACACGCAGAGACCTGCACAGAGCGCCGAGCTACTCGAAAGACGCGATTTCATAATGTAGCGCAACGATATTCCAATAGCTGCCGTTTTTGTCGAGTAATTACACGTTTCCTGGCGACTTTGGCGCTGTTGCTGCTGCTGCTGCGGCGGTACAATACGCATATAATGCAGACACGACGAGTCCGCGCGGCATGTATACGTATACACGCGCACTCGACAGCGCAGAACACACAGATCCTCGATTGTACATATATACAGCAAAGCTGAAACCGCAAAAATAAGAAATGTAAAAAAGAGGATCTCGCTATGCGAACGGGGCGAGAATATATGGTATAAACACTGGGCGAAGGCATAATTTTCCCTCGGCTTCGTGTGATTTTTTTTTGTTTTTTTGAATATTTCTTTTTTCTCTCGTTTTATATTACATTTCTCTTCTTTTACGGATGGTGTATATATGTACCGGATTGCAGCAGCAGAGGTAAACATCGATCGTCGCGTGGAGGACCAGTTCGAGCGACTCGGTGATTTTCGTTCTGCGGCACTATATTGCAGTGCCAAGCAAAGCAAAGCAATATAATACATACACATTTTGCGCAAATAGGTTGAGCGACACGAGGCTGCTTATAAATAATAGACCTGTACACCGAGAAATTCTCGAACATGACTTGTATCGCACAGGGCTAATAATGATGCTAATTTGGCCTCGATACTCGTGAGATGTACAAAAAGTTAGCAGCGTCGGAAAAGACGAATTTAGAAATTTTCACCCCGTACTCGGTTCCCGCATCGTGTCCAGTTGTAGGACGTCGAGGAACGACGACGACGTGCCCCAGTGACATCGTATTACGAATATCGGCCTAGAGAGAGAGAGAGAGAATGACAGAAAGAGAGAATCGTCTTCTTCCTCTTTTCCCACGTCGGTATACATACTGCCGAGTCTAAAATAATGCCGCCTCTATCGCATTTACGGAGCACGACGACGACGACGACGAGCAGCAACCCCCTATTGTACAGCCGGTGATATTATATAAGAAACAACTGCGGACATCCCTCTGCACGCATACCTATACATATAGTGTACATAGCATATATATAGGTGCGCGTGATTTTAAAATTGCCCGAGTCGCATAGATACGTGTCGAGGGTAAGATGAAGGTAAATATTGTACAACGCGTCGTATATATAAGAGAGCGAGAGAAGCGTCGACCAGGTGCTTTTGACGCAATCGATAATACGTACGCTGCTGCTGCATAGGGGAGGTCCGCGTAAGGGTGGCAGCCACCACGCTCGTATTATGTACACGAGTGCGATGGAATCCACCTTTATCGAAAGTGCAATAATTTTTCGTAACGTGTCCAAATCGTCGTCGTCGTCGTCGAAATGGTTTTTCCTTTGTCCGATCATTTTGCAACTATGCGCACTTGTAAAGCGTCAAAGTAAAAACACTTTCCCACAATCTCGAGGCTCTGTATACGCTTCGGTGTGTTGTTATGTGTGCTGCTGCTGCTGCTTTATAATACGTTCTGCGCTGATTATCGGTCTGCGTGTATAGTATAGGACAGAGACGAAACGATATATATATGTTATATGGGAAACGTCCCCCACGGAGTCGGAAAGAAATTACGATATTGTTTTCTTTTCTTTTTTTTTTCACGACGCGCTCATCGTTACACGAGGGACTTTTCTCCATACAAGAGATCTACTTCACGCCGCGTTATAAGATCGACCTTCTCACCTGGCTTAATTTTTTTTTTCTCTTTCCAGTCGAAAAATGTCGATACATCATTCTTCGACGCGTCGTTGCCGAGATTCCTCCCGTAATAATCTCATCAACGTTATACCCAGAACTTTTGTCTTTTTAAATATAATAAACCCATCAATATGTATACAATTATAAACGTCTCTCCAGCAAGTTTCCAATGAAAAACAGAAAAATATCTGTCATCGCCGGTGCGGGCCCGCCACCGCATCGCAGGGATTTATGTGCTAAAAAATTCTTCGATATGGAAGTGAAAGTCCGCACGAGCGTATTACGTATCCCGAGTGCGCGGGTGATCGTGGTTATAGATACAGATATACTCGTCGTCGTATGATGCTGCGTATGCGTGTACGGAATGAGGAGTTTGCTCCGAAATTTCTTTAATCGAATTATATATACTCGATGTTTTTTTACGATCGTCGCGGAATTCGATCTGGACGCAATTCGCAATCATATACGACACACACACACAATATGATGTTCGCGGAAAAATGATATAAACATCGAGCATTTTTCATCCGAGCTTATAGCTTGGCGATCGAGAAATTCTCTAGCGTGTGATATTTTTCCTCGCCCGGTTGTGATTTTATGTTGTGCAGTCAGCTTACACAAGCGTATAATATATAAAAAACGCCGATATACACGCACGTGGGCGTTACGCGCGTCATAGCGCTGCTGCTGCCTCGGCGTTTCTATGCCAGTCAATCTCTCTTCCTCGCTCGCCTCTCCAGATCGCTCGACTTGCGTTTTATAATTATAAATATCCCTCGGAGCACTGATAACGGCTACCGCTCGATACGCTCTCGGTTTTCTGCGTTGAGTTACTTATGCGTACGCGGATTTCAGGCGGAAATCCATAATCTCGCGATAAAGCTCGACTCTACGACTCCGAGTCGAGTCTCTCTCTCTCTCTCTCTCTCTCTCTCTCTTGGCGCAAACGTATACGCGATGCAGAACGGCGACTCTTTTTTCCCTTTTGTATAATGAACGTCGCGCTGGCGTATCGCATACATAAAGGTCGTGGCCTTGAACTCGTGACTCGTTCCGCGTCGATTGATAATCGTATGCTTAGAGGCGACGACGACGAGCTACTGTTTATAATAGAGAAAGAGAGAGAAATGCGAACCATAGGTGTAAGATAGTGTTGTTACGCACGTTGATATTTATCGTGGACTCGCATATTGAATGAAAAAATGAATAAATAAAATAAAATAAAAACCTTGGAAGTATGCACCGCATAAGTGAGATGGAGCTTCGCAACAACGAGCTTTAATTAACGACGAGTGGAAAATAATCGCGACGCGACCCACATATCTATAAACCAAAAAGAAAAGAAAAATCACAGCGCGAGAAGCAAACAGACGCTACTGAGACTAAAAACCTACGATTATCGCGCTCGCTCGCTCGTTTTTCACGGATTCACTAGCCTACCCAACGAGCCATAAGACGTTACACATCAAAAAATTGTGACTCGAAGCTCGACATTTGGAGAATCGTTGTGCTGCGCGCGCGCGCGCGTAATCTAATATATGTATCGTATTCGCGATCGTTGGGTCCATCGAACAACGGCCTCGAGATATCGCACGAGCCACCCACTGCACGCAGCAACAGCAGCAGCTGCACAACAATATTCGCCGCGTGATTTTCGTTGATTTATTTCGCTCCGATCTCGCGGCGCAGTACAGCCGCCGCCTGTATATGTTATTATTGCCGCGCTGATTGGCCGCAATTGGATCTCTCGACGAAAAAGCTCGATCTCTTGCTTGGCGTATACACAGACGCGTGTACGGCGCGCGAGAGGCGATCGGTTTATTTCCATGCAGCGCTCGATGCGATGCGTTATGTATATTTATGCCATAATGTACTCGACGCGTTTGCGCGCCGCGCGTCCAGTACGAATCGCGGTCAGTAAAAACAATCATTGTCTCGGATAGACACTTTCTCTCCCACGTACTTGACACATGTGTACGCGATAAATATTACTGTATGCATGATGTACGGGAGAGAATCTCTTTCGCGCGAGCTCGATTTCTTGCATATAGACGCGCGTAATAGTCTTACGAGTGATTGGCGCGAGATATTGCGCGGAAAATCGTTGCGACATACAGGCCTTATTCTTCCACTTAGATACGGACTTCATAATCTATGATTCTCTCTCCGTCTCTCTCGGGAGGGCAAACTGTATCAGTTGTGGGCGTTATGGAACGAAAAAAAGTTACGTCCGCGCGAGAGGCCGATAGATAAAGCCGCGCGACTCGATC